AATGGCACTTAACAACAACAACATATCTTTTTCTCTGACCTTTTATGGCTTGAATTCTTTATAGTAAAAATGTACTGGTATGTTATTTGAGTAAAGTAAATAAAAATACCACCACCACTTGCTAACAAGTCCTTATGCTCAAGTTGATAAATGTTCTTAGAAGTACTATGAAGGTGCCGTCAAATTGGCTCCGACTCATAGCTACCCTACACACAACAGAACAAAACACCACTTGGTCCTATGCAAGCTTCAAAATTCTTGCTATACCTGAGCCCATTGTTGCGGCCCCTGTGTTAATCCACCTCGTTGAGGGCCTTCACCTTTTTCGCTGACCCTCCATTTTACCAAGCAAGATATCCCTTTGCAGGCAACGGTCCCATCTGAAAACATGACCAATGTAAGTGAGACCAAGTCTGGCCATTCTTGCTTCCAAGGAGCATTCCAGCTGCACTTCTTCCAAGAGAAGATTTGTTAGTTGTTTTCCCAGTCCAGGGTGTGTGCTTTCGTATGCTTTGTCAACACAACTTAAAAGCATCAACTCTTCTTTGGTCTTCCTTATTCACTGTCCAGCTTTCACATGCGTATGAGGTGACTGAAATACCATGGCTTAAGTTAGGTGCACCTTAGTCTTCAGAGACATCTTTGTTCTTTAGCACTTTAAAGTGGTCTTTTGCAGCACATTTGCCCAGTGCTATACATTGTATGATTTCTTGACTGCTGCTTCCATTGGTGTTGATTGTAGAACCAAGTAATACGAAATCTTTGACAACTTCAATCTTTTCTCCATTTACTGTGATGCTGCTTATTGGTCCAGTTGTGAGGACTTTTGTTTTTTATGTTGAGGTGTAATCCATATTGCAGGCTATAGTCTTTAATCTTCATCAGTAAATGCTTCAAGTCATCATTACTTTCAGCAAGCAAGGTTGTATCATCTGCATATCACAGGTTGTTACTGTTCTCCCTCCAATCCTGATGCCATGTTCTTCTTCATATAGTCTGGGTTCTTGGATTATCTGCTCAGCATACAGATTGAGAAAGTATGGTGAAAGGATACAACCATGACGCACTCCCTTCCCGAATGTAAACCATGCGGTAGTATCCCCTGGTTCTGTTTGAATGACAGCCTCCTGGCCTACATACAGGTTCCTCATGACAACAATTAAGTGTTCTGGAATTCCCATTCTTCTCAATGGTATCCATAATTTGTTATGATCCACACAACTGAATGATTTTGTATAGTTGATAAAACACAAGTAAACATCTTTCTGGTAGTCTTTGCTTTCAGCCAAGATCCATCTCACATCAGAAATGATATGCCTCATTCCATGTCCAGAAAACGTTGTTGTTATGTGCCATGGAGTTGGATCTGACTCATAACGACCCCTCCTTGGGTTTCGAGGCGGTATCACTATGGAAGTAGATTGCCCAACCTTCCTTCTGAGGAATGGCTGGTGGGTTTGAACTGCCAGCCTTCTGGTTAGCAGTCAAGTGCCTTAGGCACTATGCTACCAGAGCTCCTCAGAAAACATTGCTGTT